TGGCTTGGTTGCTAGACGATTGTAACTTTTTATCTGCCAATGCTTTGTGTGTAGTTAGCGGCTGATATTTCGCTGGGTCCTCCAAGGTCTTTTCACTATGCAAGGATCGATGATGGTTTCTTTTGCAATCTGGACATGTGGTACCGTCTCCTTTGAGGCATTCCTTGGTGTGATGATCCTTTAAACACTTTCTACAAAGATTAAACTTACGTACAAAGTCCCATCTCTCATCAATGGTGGATTCTTTATATACTGAACATGATGGTAATAAATGGTTTGTATCACACAAAGGGCAATTGTTCTCGTCCTCATTCTTTTCTCTTTGTATGGAATGAGTATCCACCCTCACCCCTCTCTCGTCTTCCTTTCCTCTCGAGCGTATATACGACTCCGCCCTTAGCCACTCAATCAGATTTGCAATGTTCTCTTCTTTTTTCTCTCTCAACATCTCTCTTCCAAAACAAACATTATCTTTAGGATCTAGTTTTGAGAGTAATTGTGACATTATAAAAGGTGCTTCGCCAGATCCTGCAATTGAACAGCCATTGTCCTCCATATCGTTGGAAAACGCATCTATTTTCGAAGCATAATAGGCGAGAGATTTCGAGTCACTTTTGACTGGTCGTTGTTTCGTTATTTCTTTTAAAAGATCGTCCATTAATTTACGTTCATTTGCAAATTCCTGATCCAAAACCTCCCACGCTTTATCAATAGACCGTGCAAGCCTTGCATTTTCACAAACGTAACTATATGTACAGCTTTTGGGCAGGGCTTTCCTAAACCTTTGCAATTGCTCGTCTTTATCCTGATTATATTTATTCATCCAATGATTAAATTCTTTTTGCCACGTTTTGTATGTTTTTCTTTTTCCGTCCCAAGTAGGGACTGAAAGTTTTTCTAAACCGTGTCCTTTATCGTTGTTCTTTAAACTTAGAGTTTCGACCATTTTTCTGAGAGAATTGTTCATATCCTTTAGACTTTCTGCCGTGTCAGCTTCACTAGTCGGTTTCGCGTCGTTCATACTAAGCTTTTTACACTCGATATACTGATGCGTAATATCGAAATAGTCACTTTTAACTTTGTTTGCCAATTGATTGTTCATCGCTATTGTTTCATCGCTCGAAGTTAAGCCGATTTCAATTCCTTTGTCGTTGATCTTTTCGATTTGCTTTCGAATTTCTCTATACTTTGGCTCTATTTGTGCATAAATATTTTTTATTAGTTCGATTCTTTCTCCGGGATCTACTTCGGCAACAAGTTCAAATTCTTCGAAAAGTTCATATAAAGCACTCAATGAATTGTCTCTTTTGGCGACGAGCGTCTTAATGTCAACTTTCGGCGGCATACTTTTTTCAATTGCAATCGCTGATCAAATATTTTCACTCAAATATAAAGTAGTAGTTTGTCATACCTTGATGTCGATGATTGCTTACTTGACTCAATTGAGTTTTCAAAGTGTTCTTTAGCTTCGGTAGTAGAAATAAATTTGAATCCAGTAGATAAACTTGTTAACTTTTGTAGCTTGCGTCTTTGCTTCGGTAGCTTGACTTTAGTTTTTGTTGCTTCTGTAGCATAAATATTCTTTGCTTCTGTAGCTTGAAACTCATTTGCTTCTGTAGCTTGAGTCTGTGGGCTTCGGTAGCTTGAGTTGACGATTTCGTAACAAATTTTTGACTGAATTGGACGACCACAATTTTTGCACCCAGATTCTTAACATTTAATCGTGAATAAATGACTATACAAGAAGAAGAAGGTCAACTGAAACAGATTACAAAATTATTACTTACATGAAAGGATTAGAAAAAAGGAGAAAATGAAGATTACGTATACTTACAAATTTGTGTTCTTTTCGTCSTAAAAGTTCAGCGTCAACTAAATTTAATTATCATATTCTTGTCTATTTGTTGAATGTTATATACCCCAAGGGGGCTTATCAAAACTAATAAAGATTAATACAATAAAGGTCATGTCCAAAACAGTAATTCAAAAAATCAATCATGACCTTATATCCAGCCCTGGATTGGCTTTTACCAGAGTGCGCTGTACCAAATGTGTGCTTGAAAACTTTGTACACGCGTGTACTCTTACGCAAAACCAGTAGAGAAAGAAAACAATATAATTTACCGCAATTTATATATTTTTGTTAATTTCTATATTTATTATTCACTTTGTGAGCTACTGCTCACAGTAACATTTTTTTCGGCAGCAAAGGCCTTTAAAAACTTGCGGTGCGTTTTAGCTGCCTTGGTGGCAACTCTCATCATTGACGAAGCTTCATCCATCAACTTGGCCAACTTGTTTTTCGTTTTTGGGGACTTGACCCTGCAACAAACAAATATAAATTTAATTCCGAGTTTTAAATCAAAATAACATCATATGTTAGCCTGCTTGGCAGACCTTCGTGCGTGATTAGAGGT